TTTTGATATTTTAATTTATTTTAATTTATTTTAATTTATTTTAATTTATTTTAATTTATTTTAATTTATTTTAATTTATTTTAATTTATTTTAATTTATTTTAATTTATTTTAATTTATTTTAATTTATTTTAATTTATTTTAATTTATTTTAATTTATTTTAATTTATTTTAATTTATTTTAATTTATTTTAATTTATTTTAATTTATTTTAATTTATTTTAATTTATTTTAATTTATTTTAATTTATTTTAATTTATTTTAATTTATTTTAATTTATTTTAATTTATTTTAATTTATTTTAATTTATTTTAATTTATTTTAATTTATTTTAATTTATTTTAATTTATTTTAATTTATTTTAATTTATTTTAATTTATTTTAATTTATTTTAATTTATTTTAATTTATTTTAATTTATTTTAATTTATTTTAATTTATTTTAATTTATTTTAATTTATTTTAATTTATTTTAATTTATTTTAATTTATTTTAATTTATTTTAATTTATTTTAATTTATTTTAATTTATTTTAATTTATTTTAATTTATTTTAATTTATTTTAATTTATTTTAATTTATTTTAATTTATTTTAATTTATTTTAATTTATTTTAATTTATTTTAATTTATTTTAATTTATTTTAATTTATTTTAATTTATTTTAATTTATTTTAATTTATTTTAATTTATTTTAATTTATTTTAATTTATTTTAATTTATTTTAATTTATTTTAATTTATTTTAATTTATTTTAATTTATTTTAATTTATTTTAATTTATTTTAATTTATTTTAATTTATTTTAATTTATTTTAATTTATTTTAATTTATTTTAATTTATTTTAATTTATTTTAATATATTTTAATTTAATTTCGTGTGATTTCTTTTATTATAAATTAGTCATCGTTCACTCACCCATTGTTGATACACCTTGTATCAATATAGATGCATATAATATATATTTATTAAATAGTCACAGAGAGTGAATGCATTTAAGAAACTTGTTGGCTTCATGCGAAACCCAAGAAAAAATTTTGGCAGCTTACGTGTTAACATAAAATAGATCTTAAAATGAAAATCCAAATATATCTAAAATAAATTTTTTGGATGTCACATAACCTAGTGTGTAAAGTTCTAATATACTCTATGGTGGATGTCAGATAGTCGGGTGAGTAAGTTTTAATATACTGAATGTTGGATGTCAGACAGTCGAGTGAGTAAATTCTAATATACTTAATGGTGGATGTTATACAGTCGAGGGACTGAAATATTTAATATACAAAATATACAAAACCAACTGACGCGAGCGCCACCTTCGCATCTATACACTGGAACTAAATATATACATAAAATTGAAAATTAAGCATTATGACATCCAGCTGAAATTTTTTTGGCGCCCTTTTAAACCTACTTTATGATGTTTGAACCCCAAAAACGTTGTGACATCCGAATTTGGATGTCACATCGCAGACGGATGTTATAAAGATAGCAACATTTTTGCGACATGATGTCACAACGTCGGCAGGACGAATCTATATATATATATATATATATATATATATATATATATATATAAATCGTTTATTTAGTAAAAAAAAACTATTTTTTACATGTAAATACATCTTCACATTTAAAATATAAAAAATACATAAATATAGAATCAACATACATTTAAAATGCAATAAAAAATACATAAGATACAGTACACTTACATGTCAACTATACAAAACATAATAAAAGGACAAGAAAGAGAAAAAAAAACGTCAATAGGTCAACAGGTATTCACACAGTATTATTTTAAATATTGCTGCGTTTGAAGAACATTTAATATCTTCAGGCAAATTATTAAAAGCCTGTACACCTTTAAAAAACACTGAATTTTGTGTACATTTTTTCGTGGCCTTATAAACTCAAAAATGTTTCTTATTACGTGTATTATGTTTATGAACATCCTGATTATAACTTAAAATATTTTGTAAATATACTGGGGAGATTCCTGATTTAATTTTAAATATAAAAAGCTGGGAATATAATAGCAAATATTTTTTAACAGGCAACCACTGAAGCACATTCAACATGGAATTGATTGGTTCCAATCTCAAACAGCTCAGTATTATCCTTCTACCTCTATACTGCAACTTTTGCAATCGTTGCAACTCATTCTGGTTAAGCAAATACAGTATAGTGGTACAATAATTAAAATGAGGTAATTTTGGAGTATTATACATTATTATTTTAGCCCATTTGCTGAGATGTGGAGAACAGCGCCTCAAATAGTTTATTTTAAATCGGACAAATCTGTCCCATTACATTTACGTATAGGGAATCACGTAATCAATGATTTACTACATCTCAGATGCATCCGATGTGGATTCTCAAACGTGGCATATACTGTGAAATTTCTGTTTCATGACGTTTGAGGTTGCAAAGCTGTATCGTAGATGTTGGACTTATTAAAAAATAAAGTATTCCTCGGACTTATTATTTGTTATTAATACATTTATTTTATTGAGATTGTACTTATACTGTCTTTCTTTTTTCACAGATAAAGTTCTTCACAAAATGATGGACAGTGTTGTATCCTGGAATATGTAGCAGCCATCCAGCTACTTCATACACATTACAATTTTCATATACATTACATTTTTTAAATATTGGATTTGTATTATATATATTCTTTAATAAATTTATTTTTTGAATATGCTTGTTTTTTTTTTATCTAAAAACTGTTAGCCAAATTAAGATTTGTTCACACAAACTGCATTTTTGCTTTATTATAGCGAATATCGCTATAATTAAGCAAAAATGTCGTTTGTGTGAACAAATCTTAATTTGGCTAACAGTTTTTAATGCGGATAATTTTTACTGTCAAATTTGAATAGCGCCGCGCTTTTTTTCTCTTCTTCTTTTTATTATTTTCTCTTCTTTCATATGGCCTCTTACCAGACAAGGACTTAATTGAATAAAAATCAACCACGTCCGCCAGGTGCCGCTGAAAATTCTATCATCCTTTTTTAACATGGGAGATACCGTTTTAAGAGTAAGTGTTCTGTGATCCGGAGGGCTCCATTAAATTAGCAATTGCAGAAACGAATAAAAAAATATTTTTTGATTATTTTGATTTATCGTAAATTTTTTGCAACCCTGGAAAGCTGAATCATTCTAGATTTCAACCCAATGTGAAAAAAATATATTGTATATATACAGAATTTATTAGATTATTTAAAAGGAGTCGCGGTACCATAACTGAGGTGAACATTTCAGCATCTAGCAAATTTTTGAACGGTTGAAGATAGATATATGATTAATCGACGAAAAATGAATGGAAAAGTTTTTGTTAAGAACAAAAATTCTTTATTCGTAATGGTTTCTGAGAAACGAATTTTTTTGTGAAACGTTTATGTGCGCCGGCCGCTACCTTTTTCCGTCGCGCGACGTTCGTCGACGGTCATTGTGTGTAAGTGGTAGGTTATCGGGACTGTAGCTCATGTATATGGATATGATATCAATTGTGCACTAGTCCATATATTCGGAAAGAACTGGAAGTTAAGAAGAACATTTATCGAGTGTAGAAAAAATGTTGCCTTACCTGGTTGCTGCTGGGCACTATAAATATGTATCCTGTATACCCCACTACTTGAAAAGTATGAGAGAGTTATAAGTTACTGCTCCTTCAATCTGTAATGAATTCCAAAAGGGAAAATTTACAGTTCATTTAAAAAGTGGATATTTCAACTAGTCCAGTAACTGAAGGGACCAACCTGTCATTAAGTCGGTCCATATTTCCGTTGTGGCTCAACTCTTAGGTCTCGGCGGTCGCTTCCAATGTCGAAAAGTTTTACCAACTCTGCTGCGTCGGAAAGGGCCCAAAATGGACCCTAAAACTGGTTCCTGCCGATATCTTTCACAATATGCAAATTAGGGAATTTTTGTTTAAAAAAAAAGAAAGATCTTATCATTATCTACAAAAATGGTCCCTATCATTTTTATCGGGAATTCAACAGGTTTCGAGATAACCGCAATCAAAAGTCCCCTCGTTTAGCCCCTGCTTTATCTCTATAGCAATGCTGATTAGCTTGTAAACGGGTGGACAAATTGTTTCAGAACTCGGTCAAAAATTGATATTTTTCGATGATTCAAAGTATCGATCCATGTACCTTGAAGCCCGTTATTTTCTGTCAAGAACATTGAAAAAGGGGTAAAAGTTGCGTTTTCACAATATTTTGGACCACTTTATAGTAATTCATTAATATTTTTTTCTTTTAATAGTTTTTTATCCCATTTTTGTTTTAAATGGGATCTTTTTTTTTAAATACTTCTTGTTCCCCGCTGTTCATTTTTTGATAATTAATACCCAGACCGAAGTGAAGCTGATATTCTCACCTTTCATTTCAATCAATTGATCTCCGTATGTAAGCGTGGTTCTTAACTGTTTGTTAGAATTATCTCCCCCATTTTTACGCTCTCCGCCTGAGATCCATGATATTCCATCATAACCTAACCACGTGTACCCACGCGCCACGCCCTCACCTTAATCGTCTGCTTTTGTTAGTATACAATCTCTGTTGTTTTTGGGGTCGTTATTGTGGGTATTATTGATAGTATTTTAGAAAAATATTGATAGTATTTTATCATTATCAATTAAGTTGTTAAAAAAAAAAGAAGTTTTTAAAGTGAAAAATTCGACGTCATTCTTGAATTTTCAAGAATTTGTTTTTCGTTTGTGGGGAACAGAAAAGGTTTGGTTGATTTAAAATAAAGTCTATAAATTTGTTGTAATTCTTATTACATTTCAATAATATATTTTTGTAAAGATCTTGTTGCAGCAATGGAAGCTAACTCCATTCCAAAATGTTTCCTTTGTGCCCAGGAAGTTCTGGATGACGTTGCAAATGTCACTCGAGGCTTAGAAAAATTAATTGATGTGAGCAAGGAAAGGGACGATAATTTTCACCTATTCTTAAAGAAGCAATCCTCTATACAGATGCACGAAACCTGCAGGATACGCTACATTATTAAACGAAGAGGCGAGTTTCCGTACAACGACTTTTTTAAGCACTCCTCAAAGAGATTGGACCATTTGACAAGCCTTAAAAAGAAAAAGATAAGAGCCAATTGCTTTGACTTTAAAGACAAGTGTTTATTCTGCGAGGTACCTGCTTCTACAGCAAGAGAGAAAAAGAAGAACGCTTCTCAAAATAAGCATTCCATCAGATTGATTTCGGAGCCAGAATTCAAGTCTCAGCTTGTAGCTGAGATCACTGCTCATATTAATATTGATAAATACAAAGTGATGTTAGACAGGATTTCTGAGATCAACCTGGTAGCAGTTGGTGCAAGATATCATCAAGCCTGTCTATTGGTATTTTTTAAATTACCTGAAAAACTTGCTACAGAGTCCAAACAGATGGGACGTCCCAGGGACACAGATATTTCAGCACAGATGAACAGAATTGCTGATTATATTCGAGAAACTGGGGAAGACATTTAGACCATGGTGGAGTTGACAAAAATTGGAGGTATTTTCTTCACTATTATCATTAATCTGATCAGAAGAACGACGGCTAAGGGTCTTGTAAGGTTAAGACCAATACATGATCTTTAGCCGTCGTCCAAAAGTTGACAAAAGTTTGTGCGGCTTTAATGAAAGCCGGATTTATTTCAAAACCAAAACCTACTTCCAAGCGATTATGGCTAAAGATCAAGTTGGTTTGGTTGGTTTTCAACATGTTTTTTATAATAAAAGAAATTTTTCAGAAACTTTCTTATTTTTCTGAAATCCTGGACCTTTATATTTTGCAAAAGACGCAGAAAATATAAAGGGTATTCTCGGGTCAATATTCATCACACTCTAAAACTAGTAACCCACTATTAGGCAAAGCGCCGGGATTTGAGACTGCCACATGAAAAAAAAAAAAAAATTTGCACTTTTCTATTAAATTTTGCAACGCAAATTACACAGAACATTCGACAATATAGAATAGATCCCCAAGCGCTACTTTAAAGAAAAAATCCCGTAGAATCCGCCAATAATTGTCGAAAGATCGATTGGTACCCGGATTTCCATTCATTGGCCCCATAATTTAATGAGCTGAGGTACGCCGCTGGCGCCATCTACAATTGGTCTCCAAAGTCCAAAACATGAAAATCAATGTATTTCCAACTCTCTCGAGCAAAAATCAGTGAGAAACTAACATTCCTATTCAGTGCAAAAATTCTGGCTTTTTCGAAGGCCGTTTATGCAAAAAATATTCGTCTTGCGAAAAAAATGGTAGGATACATTTTTGTAGATAATGATACGATCTTCATTTTTTTATCGAAACAAAAATTGTCTAATTTGTATATTTTGGCAGATATTAGCGGGAAACCATTTTTTCGGATTTTAGGGGCCATTTTGAGCCCTTTCCGACCCAGTAGTGTTGGTAAAAGTTTTCGCCCTCGAAAGCAACCGTCAAGACCTAAGAATTGAGCCACAAAGAAAATATGGACCGACTTAATGACAGCTTTGCATATTTTCGGGTCCTCAGTTACTGGACTAACGGAATCTGAACCGATATGGCGTTGGAACGAACATACAATAAGCAGAGCAAGACACAACTATTTAGTGGCATAACTATGCAGTCTGAAATGATAGACAGATACCTATATGCCTTACCTTTCTTGACTTCATTAACTGGTGATTTCTTAAAAATGTTCGATGAAGATACTTTAAAGTTAAGTAGCCATCATCACCATGATAGTATTAGTTTCACATCACAGGAATTACAAGCGAGGGAAAACTTAAAACAGATAATACGTCAAAAAATAAATCCATTTGAATTTGCAACAAGTGATTTATTAAATATCTTTTCGGGACATAAATGTATCTCCACGAAATGAGTAATGCAAAACAAATTGGTTAAAATATCCTCAATAAGGCAGAAAAAAATAACTGTCATAAAATACCGCCAGTCAAAATAAAGTTATTTTCTAAAAAACTAAAAGCGCTACTCCTGTTAAAATTAGGTCGCAATTGTTTGTAGGTGAAGCAATGGTTTTCTGCAGCTTATATTCTGCTAGAGACTTGAACGAAAATAAAAAAAAATGGAAGTGTTTAGCCACGAGTGGTTAATACCCTCCATCTCTAAGTGAACCTAGTTGTTTTGGTCATTCCTTGCGAAAAGGAAGGAGATTTTTTGAATTGTATGAAATCGTAACTAAAGGATAAGTGGGTCGAGTCAAAGACATTAACATTCAATGATGACATAAAAACTGCGTATGTTATTAATATGATGGCATTTATACAACGCCATCAATATGAAAATTGTAAGACCTTTTGTTAACTTTATGAAAAATACATTGACATTATTGTTGCCAATAAACCAAAAACGTGCGATATGATTGCTCTCGTCGGAGATCGATATGACGACAATATCAATTCTGTGAAAGATATGGAAAGAATGAAAAGGAACAAATTTGTTTTAAACAGCCTAGAATTTAAAGTTCAAGATAATATTGAAGTTCCTAATTGGCAGCAGTTTTTTAGTAATAATAAGAATAAATCAAGGCTACTAAAATATATTTCCAGCAAACTATGTACAGCATATAACCGCCTTCCCATGAATATTTTTATAATTACCGCTGAAATGGCAGAAAAGAGCAGCATTACTACTCTATCTTCTTCCTTAACCACTAAAATACTACCAGAACTACACTTTTCTCACCACAATGAGGCCGACACTAGAATATTTGCAATATGCAATACTTGTCAAACCTACAGTACCATCAAATAATTATAGAGGCCAATGATACCGACATATTTGTTTTGTCTCTCTACTTTATTACTAGGTAATCTATCCAGAAAATATGGTTTCATAAATTTGACACATATACAGGGTGTGACTTAAAAGTTCCACCCCCCCCCTTATCTTCGTTATTCATTGAGATATCGAAATAATTTTTTTCTTGTTTAAAAGACTAGAACAAATACTTTCTTATGATTAATTCAATTATTTTGTGACGTCATGGATTACTTCCGGTCTTTCCGGATATAACAGACAATCGTAATTTATTTTTTATTTTTAAATTTAAACCCACTTTTTGTATTGTAAATTTGGATTTCTAGGACAATTTTGTATATTAATCGTGTATTGGATAATATTTGTTCTAAACATGTTACTATTAATTCGTTTATGAAAAACAATATAGGAATGTATGATCTTTATAAATCTCTGTTATCTTCAAAATTTCCGTTGGGACCCATTTACCGTATACCAGTGGCGTATCTTAGCATTTTAAATATTAGTAAACCTTTTAATAATTCTATCCGCTTTTATCTTTGTTGTTAATTGTGATATCGGAATGAAAACTTTTTTGTTTATAAGCTTATAACAGATACTTTCATATAATGGATCCAATTGGTCTGTGACGTCTTGGTTTACTTTGGATTTTTCCAGATATAACTTAAAATCGCAATTTACTTTTTAATTTAAAATCGAAACCTCTTTTCTGTTAAAAATTTGAATTACTGGGACAATATTGTACCAGAAGCGTTTATTAAAATTTTACTGTCAGCTGTCAACATGGCCGCCATATTGGATAATATTTTTTCTAAACATGTTACTATTAATTCGTTTATGGAAAAAAATATGGGAATGTATGATCTTTATAAAATCATTGTACGCTTTAAAATTCCAATTAAGACTTACAGTACACCAGTGGCGTATCTAAGCATTTTTATTATTAGCAAACCGTTTATTCCATCCGCTTTTATCTTCGTTGTAAATTGAAATATTGAAACGAAAACTTTTTTTTTATTTAAAAGCTTGCAATAAATATTATCATATACTGGATTCAATTGGTCTGTGACGTGTGTTGAAAATTTTCTGTTAGCTGTCAAAATGTCCGTCATATTGGATAATATATTTTTTAATATGTTACTTTTAATTCGTTTATGGAAAAAATATGGGCATGTATAAAATTTTTGTGAGCTTCAAAATTCCCATTAAGACCCATTTACATTGTACCAGTGTCGTATCTAAGATTTTTGTTATTGCAAACCCTTTAATAATTTCACCCGATCTTATATTCCTTATTAATTGAGAAATCGGAAAGACAACTTTTTTGATTGAATAAATAATGTTGAATACTGCTTCAACTGATCTGTGGCATCATGGCTTACTTCCGGTTTTTCGAAAGTAACAGTAAATCGCAATTTATTTTTTATTTTTAAATGGAAACCCACTTTTTTATTGAAAATTTAAATTTCCTAAACTTATCAATGTTTATGGTAGGTCTTGTTTTATTATATCGATTTCCTAAATATTTCTGATAAAATTTTGCTACTTTAAAATTTAAAATAAAAATAAACATTTTTAAATTTAAAAATCTGTTGTGTGTCGTATTAATTTTTTTTCTGCTACTGTGCTTTAAAGTACCTATGTACATTATGCGCACTACGGAGTGCATAAAGTTTTACTTTTTTTACTAGTGCGTATAGTTAAACTTTTTACGCACTAGTGCGTCAACAAGGCAAACTTTTTAGTATTTTGACATGACAAATGCCATTTTATTTTAAACTTTCTTTACGCGTTAGTGCCTAAAGTAACCTTTGTATTTTTAATCTTAGTGCGCAATATGTACGGTAGTAGAAATATCGTATTCAATTCGTATGTAAAGGCCTCTTTTTCAAGGCCACTTTATACACTCATTATAAGTATAAATAACTATTTTTTGTTATTTTATTTATCAGTAGGTAGTTGACTGATGTAGTGGATACAAGCGCTGAAATCGTATGAATTCAGTTCGATGACAGATATGAAGAAATATAAATTTTCAATAAAAAAGTGGGTTTCAATTTAACAATTAAAAATTAATTGCAATTTACTGTTATTTTCGAAAAACCGGAAACAAGCCATGACATCACAGACCAGTTAAATCAATTAATTGACAATATTTATTCAAAGCTTTCAAACAAAAAAAATTTAATTCCGATATCTTAATTAATAAGAAAGATAAGAGCGGGTGGAATTATTAAGCGGTTTGCTAATAACAAAAATCTTAGATACGCCACTGGTATACTGTAAATGGACCTTAATACGAACTGTGTAGCTCACAAAGATTTTATACATTTCCATTATTTTTCCATAAACGAATTTGCAATAACATAACTAATATGAAGGTCGTTTTGACAGCTGACAGAAAAATTTCAATAAACACTTCTTGTCGGAAAACGTCCCAGAAATTCAAATTTTCAATAAAAAAGGGGTTTTCATTTTAAAATTAAAAATAAATTGCGATTTTCAATTATATCCGGGAAAATCGGAAGTAAGGCATGACGTCATAGACCAACTGGATTTATTAAATGAAAGTATCTGTTATAAGCTTTTAAACAAAGAAGTTTTCATTCCGATATTTCAATTAACAACGAAGATAAAAGCGGATGGAATTATTAAACGGTTTGCTAATAATAAAAATGCTTAGATACGCCACTGGTATACGATAAATGAGTCT